GTTAATGTTTGTTTTATGTATTTTGCTGGTCTTTTATTTGGTGCATACATATTTATTATTGTTATGTCCTCTTGTTCTATTGACCCTTTCAGCAATATGTAGTGACCTTACTTTAGGAAGATTACAATCAAAAAGTCTAAATGTTAAGAGTATTATAAACCAATCACTGAGTAAAAGAATCTGAGTGTGTACGTGAACATTTTGGAGGGAAATACAGAGAATATGCATCTATTCTAGAGAAGTGAAGTGTAAACTATAAAAGAAATGGAAGGTGTGGGAAGTCTCTAACTGAAACTATTTCATAAAGACTTTCCTTTATAAAAATACTTTAAAATGTCCAACATTTTGCTTAGTAATTAAAACTGTATTTTTTTTTTTTTTAGAAACTGGAACCCTTATTCACTGTTGGTTGGAATGTAAAATGGTGCAGCCACTGTGGAAGGCGGTATGGTGCTTTCTCAAAAAGCTGCAAATAGAGATACCATTTGACCCAGCAATTTCACTACTGGGAATATACCCCAAAAAGATCATAACTCACGTCCAAGCAGATATATATGCACACCCATGTTTATCGCGGCTCTGTTCACAATAGCAAGGAGTTGGAAGCAACCCAGGTGCCCATCAACAAATGAATGGATAGAGAAGCTGTGGTATATTCACACAATGGAACACTATGCTGCATTGAAAAACAAGGAACTCATTCAATATTATTCAAAATGGGTGAACCTGGAGGACATTATGCTGAGTGAAATATCTCAGTCCCAAAAGGACAAATATTCCATGGTGCCTCTGCTGTAAAATGGGATTGATATCAGGGTTGGGGTAAGACTGAGAAAACCTGGATAGACTGTGAATACTGCACTGAAACAGATGAGGGAGTGAATAATTTAAAAGCGATATATGATAGGGTATTATGGTTATCACAGGAGTCCACAATTAAGGTTGCATAGTGGAATGTACTTGGGGCAGTGTAAGGGGTGCAGGGGGATTGTGTACCAGGGAGGGAGTGTTTCTTTTACTTTTGAAAGAGAGAAGTGCAGCAATGAATGAATGGAAATTCAAAATCTCTGTAAATGTTCATTAAAATTATTAAGAAATAAACAAACAAAAACTGTATTATTAAAGGCCATATTACTTACTGTACTATCAAATGAAAGTAGCAATCTCCCCCGTTAAGTGGATTTCAAGCCAAAACTCAAACTTAAAAGACAACCTAATATAGTGGCTAAGAGTACAGGCTGCCTGGCTCTATCAATGTTAAAGGGGTGAACTTGGGCTAGTGACTTAACAAAGTCTCAGGTTCCACTCTTAATCTTTATAAAAATATAATGTAAAGGCTGAATAAATACTAGCTGCTTCTATTATTAAAAACAGAATTAACAATTAAATATTGTTATTATTAATAATCATTATAGTTAAAAATCCTACAGTTAACAAACACCACAAACTGTTAAAATACTGTTTAGTCAATAAAAAAAATATCAGTTGTAATTTTAAAAAATATGACTGAAACTTTAGCTGTAGTAAAAGAAGAAACGTAATACCCAATAACAAGTTTTCTAATATGAGAAACTTACACTAAATTCAAGATATCTTCCAATATTCTAAAGAATGTTAGTTATTTCTAAGGGGAAAAAAAATAAACTTCAACAGCAATGCTAACAGTTGGTTCAATTTATAAAATAAAGCTACAAATAAAATTCAGGTAGAAAAGTTAAATGAAAATTATTTAAAATTCATAAAAAAGCCAATTATATGGAATAAGAGAATCAAGATTTAAAAAACAAATAAACAAAAAAATAAACCACAAAGAGAAGAATAAACCAAAGAGGTGAACCCTTGAATCAAATGTGTAGGCCTTTCAGTCTAAGTCATCATCAAATCTATTTCCAAAACAGCTCATGAGTTCTTTGATTTTATTTATTTTTCTTACTATAAAGAACAAGGAACACAGATGACCTAGCGGTACTGATCTGCAATCCCAAAGGCATGAGGTTCAAATCCATTAACTGCTTTGTTGGAGAAGGATGGGCAATCACCTCCTGTGGAATTTAATGCCTCTGAAAACCTGGAGGTGGTTCTAACTCGACAGCACAAAACAACTATAAAGAACTACTTAAAAAAAATCTTTAAAAATCAAACTGACAGAAGAGAAAAACAAAAACCCTATATATTTAGCCTTCAAATAATCTGAAAAAAAAAATTTATAACGTCATAATATAATCTAAGAATTGGTTAACTTTTTAATTAACAAAAATATCCAACACAGAAAAAACCAAGATACCTGAATATCCTTCTTTATTGATTTGGCTTTGTTGTCAGCAATTTTCTTCCTAAATTCAAGCAGAACTTCTTTGCAGTCTTCAAGGTGAACCTCAGGCTCCCAGGTATCGTCATCTGATGTATATCCTTTCCATCGAACTTTGTAAAGAATTTTGCCCTGTTGTAAGCACAATCAAGGACACAGCTGTCTTTATTAAATATCTAAAAACCATACTAATAAGAATATATCAACTTAAAAAGTTCATCTAAATGGAGATAAATATCATGTAATTTAAAGCATGTTCATATCTTTTAACAAGAAAATTAAGAAAAAAATAGTATCACTGACTTATGGATCACACTGAAATCCTTTTTTGATTATTGTTGATTGCCATCGAGTCGAGCACAACTCATAGCAACCCTATGAGCAAATGGCCTGAAGCCTTTTTATAACTATCAACGTTTATCAAAGTTCATAGATTTTCCAGAGGCATGTTATTTAGGATGTGGATGCCACTCCTGCTTCCAATTTTCTGATTACAAAAGGATTGTAATATCCCTGAAAATGTTTACATAGAAGCTATAATTGACATTGTTGTTGTTATGTGCCATTGAGTCCCCTGAAAATTGACATAGAAAAGCTAAATGGGAAAATAATTTAAAAATTCATAACGTGAAAAACAAAGGATCAGACAAAAGTTGTTCAGAATCATTGACTGTATTCTGATTTATCTGCATTTCCACCTCCTACTATATACAAGAGAGTTCTGGTGGCTTGCCTTGTGGTAAAGAATTATGCTGCTAATGCTAAGTTATATGGTACAAATCCACCAGCTACTCTGTGGGTGAAAGATGGGCAATCTCCTTCCATGAAATTTACTGCCTCTGAAAATCTGCTGGAGGGTCAGTTATGGGTTGGTTCCCACCTGGAGGAACACAACTATAAATGCAGGGAGCTCTGATGACCTAGTAGTAAGGAGGTGGACTGCCAACCCAAAGGCATGAGGCTTGAATCCTTCAGCTGCTGTGAGCGAGAAAGATGCAAAATCCACTATCAATCTATTCTGACTCACTAGTATATTAACAACAATAAAAACAACACTGTATTTACATGTCTAAGCACAATTTCTCTTACTCTGTAAGTGCGTAAACTAACACCTTAAAATTATTAGAAAAACAAGAAGATGGACTCATCTCAGAACCCATCATCTCCAGGTCAGCTCTTGGTCACAGAGGCATAAAAATCTGATCTGGGAACCTCACTCATTCCCGTAACTATAAACAATCCTGCTCTCTTGTGCACTGAGCAGCCAGAGCTTCTAACAACCCCTCTCTCTTTCCACTCTTGTGTACCTGGTCCTGCTCCACTCCCTTGTACCTGGCCTCTCTCCACTTCCTTGTACCTGGCAAGCAAAACAGTTCTGGGAACCACTAAATGTGCTGCCTTTGTGGAACTCCCTGCTAAATGTACCTCCCTCCTAGTACTTCTCCACCCTGCCTCAAATTCCCCTTTACAAGCTGCCTGCTTGTACCACACTGGTACACTCACATTCTGGACATACATGGAAGTTGGTAAATAAATGCTACTTGTGCCTTGACTGAGTGGTCTTGCGTCTCTATCAGGCCCTACCCAGGGCCAAACACCCTGCCACTGTTGTCCCTTGGTACAACTACCATGGACATGTAAGTGGAGAACATCTCCCTGCACTTTCTCAAAGCCAATGAGACCTGCAAGGTATACTACATGGGGGTGCAGGAATCAAATCCTTTGAGTTTACAGTAGGTAAGCAGGCAGTGATCTAAGGTAGTGAAGAAGGGGTTACTCAAAGGTGGGTCAGAGAGCCAAACTATCTCCCCAAACTATGCCTAGTACCAAGTCTTTAATGTGGAGTCTCTAAAATGACAAGGACATTTTAGAGAACAAGAATGGCCGCTTCCTTATTCTTGGATCAACAATGGAGTGATGTGACACCTCCAGGAGTGCAAGCATGAGTCATTAAGATACTCAGTTTTCAGGTTCTAGGGTCCAGTTAAGTATACCATCTAGCTTTAGCAGCAAAAGCGGTGAATTAACCTTAGATTATGAATTGGTATCCATGGTACAAGAAACTTTATTTCATTCTAAGTGATGAATTTTTTATTACATATTAAACATTCATGGTGGTACACTGCAAAGCCACAGCAGCTGTGAGGTGCTGCAGAGGGCTAATTTATTCTTCAAGCTGACAGATGTCCCTGGCTGAATTAAAATCTCTACTCAGAACTCCAAAGAAAGCTCTGGTGACCTACTGGTAAAAAGCTACACTGTAATACCTAAGGCACATGTTTTGAATACACCAGGTGCTCCATGGGAGAAGGATGGGCAATCTCCTTGTGTGTGACTTACTACCTCTGAAAATCCGATGGGTTGGTTCTTACTTGACAGCACACAACCTCCACTACCCAGAACTGACGTGAAGAAGGGGAGAGCTTTTGCCTAGACCAGCAACAACCTCCACCTACAACCTCATTCTACCTTCTGCCTTTCTAAAGCAGATTGTTGTCACTGTCCTGTGGGCCAGCAGGGATGCTGAGGAGAGGGGTGTGTGTGTGTGTGTGTCTGAAGACCAAGTTGTGCCTGACCATGGTCTCTTCAATTACTTGGTATACACTGAAAGCTGGATAATGACTAAGGATGATAGAAGGAGAACTGATGCCTTTGAGCTGTGGTACTGGAGAAGAGTATTAAATATTGCATGAACTTCAAGAAGAACAAACAGGTTCATCCTGGAGAGGGTGAAACCAGGCTGCTCCTTGGAGGCAAGGACTGTTAAGCTCCATCTGACATACTCTGGGTATGTTGCAAAGTGGGACCAGTCTTTGGAGAGGGACATCATGACCTTGGATGAGATGGACTGACTCAGTGACTGGGGCAATGGGGGTAGGTATGTCAGACACAACAAGGTTGGCTCAGGATGATGGTACTTAACAACAACAACAAAAATACACACACACAAAATAACCCCTGCCCATAGAAAAGTAAAGAAGACTTTAAGCACTTACTGAAATAAGAAAGACTGCAGCCTTCAATACAGATTACATCTCAACATAAAACAAAAATTCTCACCAATGGATAAACAGGAAACATCAGAAGAGATGGAGAAAAGATTGAAATTATCCTATCATTTTACTTCCATCTAAATCAACACCAATGGTAGCTCCAGCCAAGAAAGCAAATATCCTGGTCACTGGGAAAGTCTTCTGTCTAGGACTTCTTTAACTTGCTAAGGGAGCAAGGAAGTCATTTTAAAGAGTAAAGTGCTCTTGATCCAAGCCATGATATTTTCAATTGCTTTGTATGCATCTGAAAGTGGTACAATGACTAAGAAAGGCCAAAGAAGAATTGACTTTGGATTATCACAGTTCTGGAGAATACTGAGTATCTAATGGAGTGCCAAAAAAAACCCACCAATCTGTCTTAAGAGAAAAGGCAAGGATGGTGAAACTCTGTCTCACATATCCTGAGCATGTTTCCTTGGAAAAAGACATCATGCTGGGAAAGGAAGCAAGTCAGAGAAAGAGATCCTTAAAGAAATAGACTGTCATAGTGACAGTAAAAATGGACTTGACCATGTTGGAGATTGTGAGGATGGCACAGGTATCTGTTGTTCATAGGGTCACTAAGACTCCACAGCACCTAGCAACTCTGTATGCATGTATCTTTGCATTATGTACCCAGTGGTAAGAAGCTGTGCTGCAATTTCAAAAGGACACCGTTTGAATCCACCAGCTAGGGGTAATATCCTCCCGCAATAGTTACTGCTTCTGAAAACCAGCTGGAAGGTCAGCTGTGCGTCCATTTTGACTCAGTGGCACTCAACAACATCTGTACATTAATCACCTTGTGTCTTTTCTAGTGGATTTTCAGGGATTTTGCAATCTTATCAGGGTTTAGGGCTGTTGTATGTATGGTCACTTAAGAGCCACAGGTCACTGGATGGCACATAACAATAACATCAACAACAGCATAGTTATCAACACCCAATAATTTCCTAAATTTTAAGGACTTTATCTGAAAGTTGAAGTTGAAGGTGCTGTTTGTAGATACTTAACACTCAACGAAAGCCCAGTCATTAAGATATATCCTTGAGTATTCTCTTAACAAAATAATGCTGATAGTCTCAGCTTCAGCATTTCCTGCTTTTCTGATACTCAGCTTCCCATGCTGGGTCTCTCAGAATGTCCTTCCATTCTCCCTCTCCCCCCCCCTTTGCTGTCCCATGTAGTGATTTGCTGAGAGAAGCTGCTGCTGCTCACCCTGCCTCAAATCTTCTCCACCATATATGAGTTTCAAGTTTTACTACTGCAATGCAAGTGCTTTATGTTGGCTTTTCTCAAAAGAAAGAATAAAGTCTAGTTTTCAATAATGGATTACATAATGTAATAACAAAAGCACTAACAACACAAGACAAAATAGATGAATGGGACTCATAAAAATAAGAAACTATGCTTCATCAAAAGATTTTGCCAAAAAAGTGAAGATGATCTACCAACTAGGAGAACATCAACAGAAAATACATATTGAATAAGAAACTATTATATAAATCACACAACTTAACAATAAATGGCATATATTCCAATTATAACATAGGCAAGTAACCTGAATAAACATTTCACCAAAGAGGACATTCAAATAGCTATAAAGAAATTGAAAACATGGTCAGCATAATATTTTATCAGAGAAAGAAATCAAAATCATAATGAAGTATCATTTAACTCCTTTTGCTTTTACTGTTGTTGTTGAGTACCATCTAGTTAGCACCTCCAGCATGTTTTCAGGGGCAGTTAATCACATGGAAGGAGATTGCTCATTCTTCTACAGAGCAGCTGGCAGAATTGAACCACATGCCTTCGGGACTTTGGCGCAGATTCTTACCACTAGGCTACCAGAGCTCCCTTAACTCCTATTAGCATAGCTGTATTCCAAAAAGTATATATTGTTCCCATTCCCAAAAAAGGCGATCCAATAGAATGTGGAAACTAATGAACAATATCATTAACATCTTATAGGAAAAAAAAGTCTTGCTGAAGATTATTAAACAATGGCTAGCACAGTACACTAACAGAGAACTGACAGAAATTTAGAAGAGGCTGGGGCACCAGATGTTAGGTCACAGTTTCAGGACCATCCCCCATCTA